CCGGGGAAGCCCCTCCCCTGGCCTTCGGCGCCAGCTGGGGCCGAGAGCACGGCCAGTGAGCCTACTGCTTTCACCCGAGGGGCTTCTGGCCGGCCTAACTTCCAGAAAACGTCCCAAAGGAGGGGAGAGGGCATGTTACAACAGCTCACAGGGTCCGGCCCAGGACGCGACAGCAGACACAGAGGGCACAAAAACAGGCCCACGTGGGCTGTGGCCCCAGCCCCGCCCATGCCAGCCTTTTGCGTGCAGACAAGCTGCCTTATGTCCGTGAGCTCCAGTTTCTCTCCCTGTACAACACGGAATAACGATTCCTGTGTCGAAGGGTTCAACGAGGATTTGTGATCATAAAAGTAAAGGGCTTTGCACCAAAGACACTTAATAGACAGGAGAGAATAGTGATGTCATTAATAATAATATAATTATTTAATAATAGCAGAGACTAAGACTAGCTGAAATGCATAGTGGTTTAGAGGGTAAGATCTATGACCCAACAATTCTACTCCTAGATAGATAGATAGACGATAGATGATGATGATAGATTAGATAGATAGATAGATAGATAGATAGATAGATAGAAAAGTAGTTGCATAGATATCTACTCATATATCTATGTATATATATGAGACATAAAAACATATGTCCATACAAAAACTTATACATGAGTGTTCATAGCATTATTCGTAATAGCCAAAAGTTAGAAACAACCCAAATGTTCATCAATTGATGAATGGATTAAAAGATGTGGTATATCCATAAATAAAATATTATTTGTCCATAAAAAGGATGAACTTTGAAAACATATACAAGGTGAAAGAAGCCATTCACAGCAGATCACATATATATTTTTATGCTTCCACTTGTATGAAATATCTAGAATAGGCAAAACTATAAAGGCAGAAAATATATTAGTGGTTGCTTAGGGCTGGGGCTGGGGAATGGAAGGTGACTGTTAATGGTTACGGGGTTTCTTTCAGGCGAGACAAGAATGTTCTAATTCATTAATCTAATCACAATTTATTTTGGCGATGGCTGCACAACCCTATAAGTACACTAAAAATCATTGAATTGCATACTTGAGTGGGAGAATTGTATGGTATATAAATTATATCCAATAATACTTTTTTTTTTTTAAAGAGTCCAAGNATTGCATACTTGAGTGGGAGAATTGTATGGTATATAAATTATATCCAATAATACTTTTTTTTTTTTTTTTAAAGAGTCCAACCTCATCTTTCACACTAGTGCAACAGAATCACCTGGAGGGTCTGTTAAAATTCAGATTGCTGGGCTCCACCTGAGTTTCTGACTCAGTATGTCTGGGGTGGGACCTAAGAAAGTATATTTCTAACAGATTCCTAGGCGATACTGAAGCTGTGGCTCCTTAGGTACAACACTTTGAAAATCAGCAGTCTTGCCCTAGCCAGTTTGGCTCAGTGGTTAGAGAGTTGGCCTGCGGACTTGAAGAGCCCAGTTCGATTCTGGCCAAGGGCACGTACCTCTGTTGCAGGCTTGATCCCTGGCCCTAGCCTGCGGATGTGCAGGAGACAACCAACTGACATGTCTTTCTCACATCGATGTTTCTCTCTCTCTCCCCCTTCCTCTCTCTCTGAAAAAGCAATGGAAAAAATATCCTCGGTGAGGATTAAAAAAAAAGAAAAAAAATCAGCCGTGTGATGAAACTCCTCTAAGCTTCATTTGGATCTGACAAATGGGGATTAAAAATAACTCCTACCCTACTGGGTTACTGTGAAGATTAAGTGAGATAATCATGAAATGTACTTGGTGTGGAGCTTAGTACACTTGTCAGGCTCAATAAATAGCTATTATAACTACTACTACTGCTACTAATATTATTACTTAGATCTAAATCCTTTCCTGGAGGAGCTCCCAGGCAACCATTCACTCATTCAACAACTATTTATTAGTCACGTACTATGTGCCACCCTTCCTAGGGGCTAAGAATATACCAAGAAACAAGGCAGCCTTGTCTCACACTTCAAGGAGCTGACATTACTGGAGGAGGGGGAGAACTGTGACCATGAACAAATATGCAAATAAACAAAATAATTCCAGGTAATGATGTTCTGGGAAGAAAACAAAACAAGGTGATATGATAACAAATGGCTGGAGAGCTAGATTGGCCTTGGGTTTAGGAAATTCCGAGGGGAGGGAAGCTCTCAGCTAAATCCTGACTGGTGAGAAGTCAGTCTTTTGAAGCCCTGGAGTGTCTTAATCCATGTGGGCTGCTATAAAAGAATACCATATCCTAGTGGTTTATAAACAACAGAAATTTATTTCTCACAATTCTGGAGTGTGGCAAATCCAAGATCAAGGCACCAGTAGATTGAGGGTCTGGTGAGGACTGGCTTCCTGGTTCACAGACAGCCCTCTTCTCTCTTGTGTCCTGTGGTGAAGCAAAGGAGTCACTTTTATAAGAACACTAATCCCACCTCCCAAAAACCCCACCTCCAAATTCCATCACATTGGGGATTAGGTTTCAACAGAAGAACTGGGGGTGGGGGAGGCACAAACATTCAGTCTAGGGCATTCTGCCTGGACCTGGAAGCCAGTCTTTTGAAGTCCTGGAGGGGGACACTACTCCCTCTCCCCAGACATAGGAAACATCAGTGCAAAGAATTTAAGAAGGAAATGAGCAGGATGAGGAAAGAGGAACACGAATCACTAAACGTTAAGGTGAATCACTAAACTTTAAGGTAGACCAAGAGCCAGAAGAAAAATATAAACAAATACTTCAGGGGGAGAGATCTGGGGAAAGGGTTGCAGCCCCTCCCTTGGACAGTCACACCTCAAACATTTATTGAACGTTCACCATTCACTTGTGCTTGGTGTCCCATGATAGGCTGATAGACAAATGGATGACTCAGAAGCAGTCTGGCCCTGACGAATACCAGGTGCACCGTGGACCCTGTACACAGTAAAGACAAAAATAACCACAAGCCAAACACAGAGAATATCTGCCAGAGGAGTAGGGGTAGAGGGAAGAAATGGGAGAATGAACCTGAGGATTCTTTACAGTGCTTAGAAGAGGATGGTTTTGGCTCAGTTGGAATTTATTTATTCAACAGCACTTTTCTTGAGCTTTTACACTATGCCAGGCATAGTGGGCTGCTGGGGATACAGATGATTCAGTTCTTATCCCTCTCTTTGAGGAGGTCACATTCTAATGGGTAAGGCAGATGTCTGAGCATGGTTCTCAAACTCTGAAGAGCATAAAATCATTTGAGACACCTTGGAGTTGAGAAGGTCTAGCTGAGTCAAAATTGAGAAACCAAAAAAAAAGAAAAAATTACACATTCCCCCTGGTTGGTGTGTCTCACTTGGTTGGGCCTCATCCTGAGCACAAAGGTTGCCACTCTGATTCCCAATCAGGACTCATGCCCAGGTAGGGGGTGTGCAGGGAGGCAGCCAATTGATGTTTTGCTGTCACATCAAAGTTTCTCAATTTCTCCCTCTCCCTTCTTCCTCTCTCTAAACAAACAAACAAAAACAAAACTAAACTAAAAATAAAAAATCTTTTAAAAAATTATACATTTAACTACATTAAAAATATTCTACATGTTAAACTTGTAATACCATGAGTAAAGTCAAATACAATGAGTAGGAAAAACTCATTTCCTACTCATTCAATACAATGAGTAGGAAAAACATTGCAACTAATACTGTAAACAAAAGGTCAGCCTCTCTCTCCCCCTCCCCTTCTATCTATTATATAAATTAAGAAGATAAACAATATAGTAGGAAAATGGGCAAAGAATATGAACACAGTTCAGGGAAATGAAATACAAATGACCCTTAAACATATAAAAAGATGCTTAATTTTTTTTGGATAACACAACTAAATTTTTCTTATTTAATGTATTTATTTTGCGTTGGGATAAAATGTAAGTAACATAAAATTAACCACCTTAAGTGTACAGTTAGTGAAATTAAGTGCTTTCACATTATTGTGCAAGCACCACCACAGTCATCTCGGGAACTTTTTCCTGTCTTCCTTTTCATTTCTATACCCTTCAGAAAACACATTCCCTCCTCCCTGAGCCCCTGGCAATCACCACTCAACTGTTTTCCTCTACATAATTTATTTTCCTTTCACAGCCTGGATAATTTTGAAAAGTACAGTCCAGTTATCTTGTAGAATGTCCCACAATTTGNACTGTTTTCCTCTACATAATTTATTTTCCTTTCACAGCCTGGATAATTTTGAAAAGTACAGTCCAGTTATCTTGTAGAATGTCCCACAGTTTATCTGTCATCTTTTCACGATTCCATCCAGGTTAAGTATCTTGGGCAGGAATATCACAGAACTGATGCTGCGTGGTACAAGGTGTCAAATTAATTTTGATTACTTGGTTAAGGGGATGCGCACAAGTTTTCTCCAAAGTTACCGTTTTCTCTTTTTGCAATGATTATGTAATCCAGGGAGATACTTCGAGATTGTAACCTGTGCTCTTGGGAAAGTCACAGAACCCTTCCAAGCATCAGCTTCCCCATCTGTGGAGTGGGGACAGCGGCCTCTTAAACTCAGAGTTTAAGAAACTGAAAGTGCTCCCCCGGCTGGGCGTGGCTCAGCGGTTGAGCATTGACCTAGGGTCCAGGCGATGGGGGTTCCATTCCGGTCAGGGCACCTGCCCAGGCTGCAGCGGATCAATGATTCTGTCATCATTGATGTTTCTCTCTCTCTCTCCCTCCCTCTCCTTTCCTCTCTCTGAAATCAATAAAGATATATTTAAAAAAAAGAAAGAAACTGAAAGTGCTCAAAAGTGCTTTGCTCCACGCAGAAGGCAAAAAATATGGCAGTGAGAGGTGGGGTGCGGGTAGGAGGGGACCAGGTTCATTCCTTGCTCTCCAGCTGGACAGGCGGCGGGGGCGGGGCGGGAGAACCCGCGTGCGCCTGCGCCGGAGGAGAGTGACCACAGAGTCGGTCCTCCAGAGACAGAGAGGCCGGAAGTTGTTCTCACAGAACCGTGTGATTGCGGGGATTCTGGAGCTGAGGCGGCGCGAACAGGGTCTGCGGGCTGTAGGGGATCTACGTGAAGGACTCCGGGGTTCAGGGCAGCGCCAATGGCGTCTCGGGCAGGCCCGCGGGCCGCCGGCACCGACGGCAGCGACTTTCAGCATCGGGAGCGCGTCGCCATGCACTACCAGATGAGGTATGAAGTGAGGCCAGGAGCAGTGCGGCCTTCTCCCTGGCCGGAACCTGCGGGCCTGGGAAGCGACGCCCCCCGGCCTCAGGCTCTTACTCCCCAGCCACTCCACGCTCACCTGCCAAGTCCCCTCCTCCCGAGACGGCCCAGGGCCTGTCTCCAATCCTGGAAAGCCCAGGCACTCCCTTGGGTCCATCCCTCGGTCGCCCTGTGCCTTGAGGGGCTCCAGTCATGGTTATGCTGGCCCTGCTGTGTGACCTTGGGACCCTAATTTATAATTGAGTCTCAGTTTTTTTCATCTGCAAGAGGAAAAAAGGAATCGACCTTTTAGGGTTGGGTGAAGAATTAGTGAGCTAATGATTCGTTGCATAAGATCTAACACAGAATCGAGTCTGCCCAATACATGGTAGCTGTTATATTAGGGGCCCTTTTGGGGAATGTGGACCATAAAGCTAGCTTTCCGTGCCTAAAGTGAATTTTATAAACACCCCCACCTAAACGGTATTTCTACATTGCCCCTTCAACAAACACGTATTGAGCTTATACCCATCAGGCATTTTGTGCTGGGCACTGAGGATATAATAGAGAGCAAAAGCAGACCTGGTCTTTGTATGCATATTATACCTTCAATAAAAAAGCTTATTATCAAAACAAACAAAAAACCTGGTTCCTGTCTTCATGAATCTTGAAGCCTAGAGATGACTGATTTTCCTACCTTTTCACACTTTCTGTAATGAATATTTTTAAAATAAAAATTTCAAAAAGATTGTTCCCCCTTAAACCCATTTATCCAGAATGCTTTTTGCATCTTTGTCTCCAGAGTTTTAAATAATGGCAAGCTCTTTGGACCCTCACTTCAGTCTTATCCTTAAGACCCCTGCCTAAGGGCACCTCACAATCCAAGCAAGTATTTTTATGCTTACCTAGGGCAGAAACTGTCCTCCAGGATGTGAAGAGGATATATTTAGGACCCTAGAGAGTTAGAAGAATAAAAAATAATGTACTTCCTTTAGATGAAACAGTCTACTCTAGCTGGAGAAGTATGAGCAGCTTGAGCTGGTTTCCTCACTGCCAGTACCTCCTTCCTCTGTGCTATATACTCCTAGGGTGCAAAGTCATTTTTCTAAACAGCGCTGAGTTACTCTTTTGCCTTTAAACTGACTATTCATAGTCATTGCAACTTCATATCCTGCTGCTCCCCCCCTATGGTGTATTCATGCCATACCCAACCACTGACTTTCCTGGAACACAAATGCCTGTTTTTTTGCCTGCATATGATTACCTATGCTTGGAATGCCCATCTCCTTTCGCCCCTCAGAGCCTAGCTTAAATATCATCCTCCTCTAAATAGCCTTCTCAGATGTCCCATCCCAAGCAGAATTGATTACTGCTTCCTGTGATCCCATGTATCTTGCAAAATATATTTACTAGAGCTCTTCCATTTCATTTTCTATTAATTTTTCTTCCACTGTTCCTTGTGCCCAGCCTCTAGGCAGGAACTAGATCTTACTCACATTTGTACCCCATTGTCCAGTATACTTGCCTGGCATATAGTTGGTTAGAAAATTTTGAATGAAAGGAACTTCTCCCTCTGCTCTGCCCCACAGTGTGACCCTCAAGTATGAAATCAAGAAGCTGATCTACGTGCATCTGGTCATGTGGCTGCTGCTGGTTGCCAAGATGAGTGTGGGACACCTGAGGCTCTTGTCACATGATCAGGTGGCCATGCCCTATCAGTGGGAGTACCCGTATTTGCTGAGCATTGTGCCCTCTCTCTTGGGCCTCCTCTCCTTCCCCCGCAACAACATTAGTTACCTGGTGCTCTCTATGATCAGCATGGGACTCTTTTCCATCGCTCCCCTCATTTATGGCAGCATGGAGATGTTCCCTGCTGCACAGCAGCTCTATCGCCATGGCAAGGCCTACCGCTTCCTCTTTGGTTTTTCTGCTGTCTCCGTCATGTACCTGGTGTTGGTGCTGGCGGTTCAAGTGCATGCCTGGCAGTTATACTACAGCAAGAAGCTCCTAGACTCTTGGTTCACCAGCACACAGGAGAAGAAGCGTAAATGAAGCCTGTCTGATGGACTGATCTCTGGGGTGAAGCCTAGCCCTCCTATTGAGAGGAATGAGAGGGTAGAGGAGCTGTTCTAAAATCTCCTTCGGTAATTTGGCAGCTGTGATGTTGGCAACTAGTACAAACTAGGCCCAAGTTCCAGAAAGCTGCTACTATTATCAGCTGAGGTGGGAAAACTATAACTTATTCCTGGTTGGCTGGAACTGGGTGAAGAATAGCTGTAAAACAAGCTTCAGCTAGTTTAAGTTGAAGCCCTTCAGGATTTTTCTTTTAAGACTGAGCCTCCTTTCCTCTTAGTCATTCTCTCCATTTCCATCCATTACCCCTTAGCCACCGAGACTGGAGGAGATGGAGAATCAACCAAATTTTATTTCAATCTATGAGTCATTGGGAGGAAACATTTAGGAGACTGCTTTCCCTGCAGGCTATGGTCTCTACTCCAAAGCATTTTAATTAAAAAGAGCCTCAATAAAGTTATAACTGCCCTGTCCACCCTGTGCCTTGTGTTTGGGATTTAACAGTGTGAATGGTGCATTGCATGAGTGGCTTTAGACACCAAGAGATAGGTGGAAGCTCCCTGAGAAACCTGGCAGTGGCCATAGAGAAGTGAATTGGGTGTAAGGAACGTAAGTCATAGTTCCCACCCTGTAGCTGATTAGCAGGAACTGTCATGGGCCATATATTTAATCTCTCCACCTATAAAATGTCCATTCTCATTTATCCAGCTTGGGTTATAGAGTCTTCTTTTGGTTGTGTATTCATGTTCATCATTCAGTGTTACCAGTGTCAGTTATGTGTCTGATACAGTAGACCCCCTCTTATCTGTGGGGGATATTCTAAGATCATCCCCAGTGGATGCCTGAAGCTGCAGATAGTGCCAAACCCTATGTATATACTATGGTTTTTCTATACATACATACCTATGATAAAGCTTAATTTATAAATTGGGCATAGTAAGATACTAGCAACGATAATAAAATGATTATAACATTGTAATAAAAGTTATGTGAATGTGGTCTCACTGTGAGATTTCGTCATGCTACTCAAAATGGTGCACAATTTAAACTTCTAAATTATTTCTGGAATTTTTCTTCTAATATTTTTGAACTGGTTGACTGTAGGTAACAAACCACAGAAAGTGAAATTGCAGATAACGGGGGGGACTATATTATGGTATCCAAAAGAATTTTAAAGTATCCCTGCATGCAGGGAATGTGCAGTCTAGGTGAAACATGATAGAAATGTGAAACAACTAATGAACACAATATTTAATGGTGTGGAGCAGATAAGTTAAAAATGGAAGTGAAAAGAGATCTGTGAACTAAAGGCCCTTTCACATCTAAAAGTGACACTCAGTAAATACTGCATGAAAGATGTGTATCCCTTTACTCTTATATATATATTAATCCTCACCTGAGGATATGTTTATTGATTTTTAGAGAGAGGGAGAGAGAAACATTGATTGGTTGCCTCTCATATGCACCCCAACTGGCAACTAAACCTGCAATCTAGATATGTGCCCTGACCGGAATCAAACCTGCGATCTTTTGGTGTACAGGAGGGTGCTCCAACCAACTGAGCCACACTGGCTAGGATCCCTTTACTCTTATCCACTTGACTTTATTGTCTCTGAATGGATGATACCAAATCTTTAACTGCAGATCTCTGCCCTCTACAGAGTTATAGTCATTCTTTTGTTCTATGAACACTGGGTATGTACTCAGTCACTATTAGGTACTGGCAGTACTTTCTTTCTAATTGCAAAATCTCTTCCTCTAGATGTCCTGATTATCAAATCAAACTCATCATGTCTCAAACTTAACTCTTTACCTTCTACCTCATATTCGTTCTTCTTCCTGCATCCCTACGTGCAAGTGAATATACCAAGAGCATAGCTCTGGATCATCATCATAAGTCCCTACTATGTGCCGTTATTTTTTGAACAACCAAAATTCCTTAATCTCTTTCAGAGATTTCCAAAGTGTGGTCTTAATGCAGCAGTCCTGCATCATCTCCCAATACTCTCACCACACAGTAAGCAGAACCTCTTATGAATCCCCATGTTGGTTCCATGTTTTCCCAGTATTCTTTGCTTAATGATTTCCCCTTTCTACGCCTTTATTACTTATCCTTCAAGACCCAGTTTATATGGTAATTCTGGAGCCTTCTGTTCCCTTCAAGGAGTGAGAGTTCTTTCTTTGGATTTACATGACATTTTAATTTTTACCTCTTGTTGACAGAATTATTAGTTTATATATATGTCTTTTCCTCACCCCTTGCTCAGTACCTAACAGTATGCACTCTGAACTTATTGAATGAAGTAACTTGTCTTGCTGTAGACTAAAGTCTGAATGTATTTCACAGAGGAAAGAACTAGACCAGTGATTTGCAACCAGTGTGCCGCAAGAACTTTTAAAACATGCAACACCTGACTATTTAGTCAGGGGCACTGATCTCTATTCCCTTAGATTGTCAAATAAAAAAATGACAACAGCCAACACAATAGCGGTCTGGTGTGAGTGCCCCGTCTCAAACGATAAACAGTTGCATCTGATTGGCCATGTTTCATAATAAGGTTGCGTATGATTGGTTAATTCTTGTTACCAGAAATCCTTAGATACAAGTACAGGCACCTGATTTGGTTTTGAGTTTAATTTTCACCCAAGGACATGTTTAGAGAGAGGAAAAGAGAGAGAGACATCAATGTGAGAGAGAAACATTGATCAGTGGCCTCCTGCATGCACCCCTGACTGGGGATTGAACCCACAACCCACAACCTGTGTGCCCTAACCAGGAACAGAACCTGAAACCTTTTTTGGTGTACAGGATAGACACTCCAACCAACTGAGCTGCCCAGCCAGGGTGGCACCTGATTTTTTAAAATGTCACTTTAGAGCAAAAAGGGTAGGTTTTTAAAAATTCTTTTTTTGTAAATCAATAATACCTATTGTTTTTGTCAGATTGGCAAAAAATATATTTTTTGGTGTGCTGCAGAATTTTGCTAATTAGTTTATATGCGCCATGAGATGAGAAAGGTTGAAAATCGCTGTTCTAGACTAAAAGAGGTGTAGAATTTGGAGAGCAGAGAGGAGCAGATGGAAATGTGTGGATAATGGGGCTAGGTGCACCAGGGACAGATTGCTAATTTTCAAATTGGAATGCAAATAATATTAGTTTTTAAAGAGTAAAAATTTCTTTGGTTATTAGAATGGCACTTTGCAGTTTTGGAGTGCTTTTGAAGACCATTATGAAAATTACCATCAATGCCCAAAAAAGCACCACTTGGTTTATTTTCCTACTTGTTAGGTTGTGGGATTCTGCTCTTCTGGGCTTTTCCAATCATTTTTTCCTGCCCCAGGGTTATAGTGTTCCCTGAAGCATTTAGTGGGAAGAGCTCTGCATTTAGAACAGAAGACTGGGGTTAAAGTACCAATGCACCTACTAATCACAGCTAGATCAACCCTCCATATTTCCCAGGATTATTTTGAGGATCAAATAAGGTGAAGTATTGTGAAAGTGCTTTGTGAACTATGTAACACTATATAAATGTGAGGAGTGGTTATTATTCCCTGATATTTACAGAACTAGAGAGTAGGCATTGGAAGGACCCTTAGAAGCATCTAGTCCATGAGAAAGGCAGTGTGGTGTAGTGAAACGAACAGTTTCTGCTATTAGACTGACTTCTGTTGGAATTCTAGCCACACATTTTACTACCTTTTGCCTTAAGCAAGATACTTCAGCCTCTTTTTTTTTTTTTTTGACCTGACATATGTGGATCATAGTAGTCACCTCCCAGGGTTGTTGTGAGGATTAAGTAAAATAATGTATATGGACAGTTACATAGTAAGTGCTTACTAAATATTACAATCCCTTCCCTTGATTGGCCTTCCCCTCCCAGATTGGGACTTTCTACCTCTTGTCTTAGGCATAATGTCTTGCATCAGAATTCTGGAGGCTGATCCCTCCTGGAAGAGCAGAACTGAGGAAGAGATACTTGTCCACTCTGGTGTGCATTGGTCTAATTGATTGGGTCTTCCTGCCCAGGGAGCCCCAAAAGTAAGCACAGTCCCAATAAACTGTAGCAATTGGCCATTACAGGAAGAGCCTGGAGATGCTACTGCATGGTCTGACTAGAGTCCATGCATAGGTAAAGTGCTGTCAAGAGAAATGGCTGCTCAGGGTCACCACAGTGTACTCTGTACCTGAGCATGCATAGGTGCCTCCTGAGCCCTTGGCTTGGTCCCCAGGTAAGGATTAGTTGAGTATGAAATCTAGGTCAACTCAAACCGCAGGTGAGACAGGCCTCAGCCACCTTCCATCCGGACAGGCCTCTGTGCTGCAGGCCTGCCACACACCTGTGTTGCCTTTACTCCAGTTGGCTACCTCCTTCCTACTCAAGCCACAGAGTTAATCCTCCCTTGTTGACACTTGCTAAATAATCTCTTCTCTCCTAGAACTCTGACAACTGATAATAAACTATCATAAAGACCTACTTTCCTTTGTCCAACTACTCCAGTTTCTTCCTCCACATTGTTAACCCAACTATATCACATGCTAAACCTAGTACTTCTTGTGGAACACAGTGCCCAGAAACCCTCTGACATGCCACAGCTCTCAAGCAGTGTGTTTTGGTAGAAAGAGCCTAAAAGACATGGTGGCCACTCCCAGCTCTTCATTGTTGTGTGTGGACAAGTTACTTAATCTTCCTAGTGTTTCCTAGTCTGCAGAATGGTTTAATAAACTGACCTCAAAGGTAGTTGTACTAATAAAACGAGATAACGTGGGCAAAGCACAGGGCCCAGAGCCTGCTAGTAGGAATTTAGCAAATGTTGACCTGATCCCCTCCTCTTCCCCAGGGTGTGCTGGATTTTGCCCACTGTGCTCTTTATCTTAAATCCTTTTTAAAACAAGCTCCACAATAAGTAAGTAAACCAGCAGCCCTGGCCAGGTAGCTCAGTTGATTAGAGCATTGTCCCGATACTCCAAGGTTATGGGTTTGATCCCTGGTCAGGGCACATACAAGAATCAACCAATGAATACAGAAATAAGTGGGACAACAACTTGATATTTCTCTCTCTTCCTTCCTCTCCCTCTCTAAAATCAATCAGTAAAATTTTTTAAAGTACATTTAAAAAATAAAGAAATAGAGAAATAAGTAAACCAGCAAGACAATAAATAAAAGCAGACCTTTTCTCACCTCTTTTCTCTTTCTGTCTTCCTTTCTCTCTCATCTTTATTCCTTTCTACATGTTCCTCTCCTTTCCCTTTTCCTTTCTTTTTTGTTCTTGTGTATGTGTGTCTTCATTTATTTATTTTCTGCTTCTCCTACCATATCTTAGCCAGGATCAGGGAGCAATTAATAAAATATTTTTATTATGAGAATTAGATCAGAAGATATAAGGGGTCAAGAAAAGAGAAGTATTGTCCTGGCTGGTTTGGCTCAGCGGTTAAAGCATCAGCCTGCAGACTGAAGGGTGCCAGGTTTGATTCCAGCCAAGGGCATGTACCTCAGTTGCATGCTTGATCCCTGGGTGGGGCCTGTGTGGGGCCCCTGTAGGAGGCAACCAACCTACATGTCTCTTTCACATTGATGTTTCTTTCTCTCCCTCTCCCTCCTTCCCTTCTTCTTTCAACTCTCTGAAGCAATGGGAAAAATATCCTTGGGTAAGGATTAAAATTTTTTTAAAAAGAGTGTATTAAAGAACAGAACCAAGTTTCTCACTTCATGCACCCATGCACCCACCCAACATTGAAAAATGCAATTTCCGGAATCAGATGGAGGTCGGTGGACCCCGTGACTGTGGAGGGTGAGGTGACCCCAGCTCCTCCGCTGCCACCATGGGCCGTGAGTTTGGGAAGCTGTCACGGGTGCAGCATGTGATCACCTACAGCTCGTCACCCTTCAAGCAGTGCGCCTTCTTGCACTACTTCAGCAAGGACATCCCCAACGTGTTGAGCAGCATTCAGGCATTTATCTTGTCTACACATGAGGGACCCAGGAGTTTGAGAAATCCAAGAGGAAAAATCCAGCTGCCTATGAAAATGACAAATGAGCAACTCACCTGGAAGATGATTCCATGTCTCTGAAAAAACATTCTCTGGGAGAGGAGTCTACATTGTATAGTGTCTTTTTTTTAAAAAACTTTAAAAAAAAAAAATATCTTTATTGATTTCAGAGAGAGGAAGGGAGAGGGAGAGAGAGAAACATCAATGATGAGAGAGTCGTCATTGATCAGCTGCTTCCTGCATGCCCCCAACTGGGGATCGAGCCCTCAACCCAGGTATGTGCCCTGACAGGGAATCGAACTGTGATCTCCTGGATCCTAGGTCGATGCTCAACCGCTTAGCCACACTCAGCTGGGCTGTATAGTGTCTTGAAGACACACTAAACTTCTTATGAGCTGCAATGTTGTGATTCTGCATTTTTTTTAGCAGAGTCCTTGATGTGACTTGCTAATATTCAAGTTAGTGAACTCTCTTTCCCAGATGAGCCCTGAACAATTTTGGCTAGTCTGGGAATTTGGTGAAGGAGTGAGGCTCACCCCTTGTTCTACAGTATAATCTACAAGAAAGTAGCTGCAGCTACTCTTGCAAGCTGGCCAATTGTGGGTAGCATGGACTGTGTGGAGGTTCCCGTCCCTCTGCTCCCATAATAGAGATAATAAAAATCTAACTATATTTGTAATTTTATNAAAGTAGCTGCAGCTACTCTTGCAAGCTGGCCAATTGTGGGTAGCATGGACTGTGTGGAGGTTCCCGTCCCTCTGCTCCCATAATAGAGATAATAAAAATCTAACTATATTGTAAAAAATAAAAATAAGATATAAAAAAATGCACAATCTATATAGATCTAAACCACTGTGGATTAGGTAACAATTTAGGGGGAAGACTCCCTAATTAATCCTTAGTATGGCCAGACCACTCTTCCCTCCCCTCATATCTTACTGACTTGTTTGCAGTGATGGGCTCCAAGGCCAAAAGACAGAGCTGTGTCAGGCAGACCCTGTGGAGTTCCCAGAAGCAGAGGGAGATGAGACAGTGGAAGGAGAGACCATAAGAGAATTGAACTGTGAGAGGCTGGCAGCAGTGGAGCTCCCTAAGCTAGAGACCTTGACTTTGACTAAATAACCTTCCTTTCAGCTTATTTATCTTTATGGAATGAAAACAATAATTACCACCTGTCTTGTAATGTAATTACAAGGATCAAATATGAAAGTGTTTTGTGAAATGTGAAACAGATAAACTGCTATTATAATTGACATTTATTCAATTACAGAGCACCTATTTCATGACATCCACCCCTAGGCATTGGAGAAGCATAAAGAATAAGAAAAAAAAAATAAGAAAAGGTCTTGCCTGGCCGGTGTGGGGTCACCAGTTCGATTCCCCATCAGGGCACATGCTCAGGTTTCAGGCTCCATCCCCAGTAGGGGGCATGCAGAAGGCAGCTATCATTGATGTTTCTATCTCTCTATTCTTCTCCCTTCCGCCCTCTCTAAAATCAATTAAACAATATTAAGAAAGCGTCTTTATCTTCTAAGGAACTCAAAAGCTAGAGGGTATTTTTAGGATAATGGGTAGGATGGGATCTTCAGCAGTGGACTTAAAAACTTAGAAACTACAATTGGCCTAAAAATGACTATGGTCAGTCTACCGAAAGGTGCAGAGCGACAGTAACAATTTTAAGATGCCTTAACCCAGTAGGTGTGCCCCCAAACTTTCTTTCCACTGTGTGTGTCACCAAGGTGAGGGCTGAAGCAGCTCAAATGCTCCATGAGCAGGAGGAAGCTGTGGGATGATGGGGAGGGTCACAACAAAGAGTGGAGCCTCGTCAGCATCATCAGAAACCACAGGAAACCAGGTCAGTGTGTGGGGCCCGCTCCCTTTGCTCCAGGCCTCTGCTATGAGATCTGTGACTTCCTGAGCAGACTGTACTGATTAGTGGATCCTTGAAGGTGGAGGCCCCTTTGGCATGAAGCCCTTTGTCCAGAAAACCTGGAACTGGCCAATGGGTAGAGAAAGCTGAGCAGCAGTCCTGAGAGTCGGTCAGGTGGGGAATAGGGATGCGTATGGGGTCATGTGAGGCTTATGTGCATCTTTTAGTGTTTTCTTGCTGTTCTGCCCAACTTCAAGTGGTGCGTCAGTCACCTCTGTCATCCAATGTGGAGTAGTGCTTAATAGCTCTGTTAATTCTCTAAGTGAGGGGATTAAGCATGTGTCCAGAGGAGATCCAAGTCCAAGAGCCAGTTAACAGGTGGGGCATGATCTAGAGAGTGTTGCAGGAGTAGGAGGGGTTAAGAAATGGGTGTAGCCGACCACTTACCTAACCCTGTGCTGGTCTCTTTCCTGCTATTTCTCTGCCAGAGCAGGAGCCCCTTGCCCTCCAGTTGGAGACAGTAGGGTTTTCTGGGGGGCAAGCATCCCTCAGTCCCTCTGCTTGGAGGAGAAGGAATGCGGCCTGGCCTGCTCGTTAGGATCAAGGAGGAGCTTTGGGGCTGGGCGGGGCAAGGGCAGGCTGAGGCGAGGGTTCCTGCTGGCATTGTGCTCCGTGCTGCTCTACTGCAAAGTCCTGCCACCCACCTTCAGGCCGTGCAGCCATGTTCTGGGTGCCCTGACCCAACGGAAGTCCATGGGGCGCCCCAGACTGGCAGCCCTGCTCCTGCCTCTCCACCTGCTGCTCATTGGCTTCTCGGCCTCTGCTGGGATTGGCTGTCCCTGTCGGCCCCACTGGAATAGCCGCCGTCTGCTGGCCTCCCACGTGGTAAGGTGCCTTTGCTGGGTGGAACACCTGCTTGGCACACGCTGGCAAAGCTCTCCACTCTCCTGTCTTTCCTTTTCCACCTCCCCAAGTTACTGTGCTCTGGTGGTAGCCTCAGTGTGTCCTCCACACAGTTTCAGAGGAGTACCAGGTCCTGGTGGCCTGAGGGCCTGGGCAGGGTGGAGTTGGGAAGAAAAAAGCCACAGTGGATGGGCTGTTAGCTTCTGGGCCTCAGAATTCGGTGATCTGAGACAAAAACCCCAAGGAGAGTGCTCCTTATGAGAATCCCTACTAACTATACTTCTCTCCTTTCTCCCCCCTCCCCCCCAATTGGGCCCTGTGCCTTCAGGATAACAGTCTGACTGGTAAGTCTCATTCCCTGCCCTGTTCTTCTTCCCCACACCCTTTTCCCCTGCCCCCCATTGATTTTTAGAGAGAGTGGGAGGGAGGGAGTGGGAGAGAGAAAAACATCAATGTGAGAGAGACACATTGATTGGTTGCCTCCAGCAGGCTCCTGGACCGGGCCAGGGTTCGAACCTGCAACCCAGGTTGACCTGTGACTGGTCGGTGTGCAGGCCCATGCTCTATCCACTGAGCCACACTGGCCAGGGCCCCCACATCCGTTTTGCTCCGGATCCCCAGTGAGGCTTGCATTTTAATTTTTGGTTCCCAGCCTGGGAAGCAGCACAGCATCAAGGAGAGAGCAAGGGTTTCTAATCTAGACGAGCCTGGGTCTGCGTTATCATTATCACTCTGCCACATGTGTGTGCTGCAGGCAGTGCACTGAACCCCTCCGACCCCCCGTTTCTGAGGGGTCTGTCAGGACAGTAGAAATGATGGTGCGATGAAGACTGTTGCCCCCGAGCTGTGCAGAGGATTAAATGAGAGACATGTGCAAACCTCCAGACGCCGCACCCCGTAACTGTCAGTACTAAAATGACTTTCATATTTTCCCACACCTTATCTTACTTACTCTTGACAACAGCCCCACTTTATGAATGGTAAAGTTGAGGCTTGGAGGGGTCCATAACTTCCCCAAGGCCACTGAGCCAGGATATAAGTGGCAGAGTTCAGCCTCAAGTCTAACTTATCTGAGGCAGGAGAGATGTCCTTGGACTCTAACACTTGATTTTTTTTCCATCTTTTGCAGAAAGATCTGCCCCTATTCCTTGCCATACCCTGTTGGCCCTCCCCATCTCCCCAAAGCCTTGGGGTGCTTGGCTCTCGTACTGTCCCTGCTGTTTGTGCCTGCACCTGGTGTCAACTCCTTCGGGTATGAGGGATAGCCCTCGGGCCATTCTCAGTGAAGATGTGAATTAGGGGCATTTGGGTTGGGGGGAATGGGAAGAGGCTGAGGCAAATGGAACTTATACTAGAACACATATTTGTGGTGTTGTCAACCTCAGCAGAGCCTTAGGTCATCCTAAAATAGCACAGCACGACTGATATTAATGAGGTCATTTGTATCATTTTGTGAAGGTGTTTCTCCTGTCAGCTAGTACCAATTGTTGGAATCAAAATGTTAGTTCTATACATTTACTATTATTACCTTCTATTTGTACAGTAAGATTGTTCTTATTCAACTCTGTATTTTTATTGCCCAGCTCAGTGCCTGATCTATACTAAATGCCCATACACTGTTTAAGAACTGGTAGTTTGTAGTTTTTCACTGTTATAAATAATGCTACAATGGACATCTTTAAGATGTTCTCTATTTTTCTCTACTTAAGAAATTAATCCTTTAAAATATTTATTATTATTATTATTTTTTAATCCTCGCTGAAGGATATNACTTAAGAAATTAATCCTTTAAAATATTTATTATTATTATTATTTTTTAATGCTCGCTGAAGGATATTTTTTTCTTTTTTCTTTTCTTTCTTTTTTTAAAAAAATATATATATCTTTATTGATTTCAGAGAGAGGGAGAGAGAGAGTTGAAACATCAATGATGAGAGAGTCGTCATTGATTGGCTGCCTCCTGCATGCCCCCAACTGGGGATTGAGCCCGAAACCTGGGCATGTGCCCTGACCAGGAATCGAACCGCTGAGCCACCCCAGCTGGGCCAAGGATATTTTTTCCATTGCTTTCAGAGAGAGTGGAAAGGAAAGAGTGAGAGCGAGCGAGAGAGAGAGAGAGAAACATCGATGTTAGAGAGACACATCAATTGGTTGCCTCCCGCACACTCTCTCACTGGGGTCAGGGATCAAGCCTGCAACCAAGGTACATACCCTTGGCCAGGATTGATCCCAGGAACCTTCAGCCTGCGGGCCTATGCTCTAACCACTGAGCCAAACCAGCTAGGGCTATTTATTGATTTTTAAAAAATATATGTCTTTACTGATTTCAGAGAGAAAGGGAGAAGGGCCCGGCCAGGCGTGGCTCTGCGGTTGAGCATCGACCTAGGATCCAGGCGATTGGAGTTCGATTTCCGGTCAGGGCACATGCCCAGGTTGTGGGCTCGATCAATGACTCTCTCATCATTGATGTTTCTCTCCCTCTCTCTCCCTCTCCTTTCCTCTCTCTGAAATCAATAAAGATATATTTTAAAAGAAAGAAAGAAAGAAAGAGAAAGGAAGAAGGGAAGAGGAGAGAAACATCAATGATGAGAGAGTCGTCATTGATTGGCTGCCTCCTGCACGCCCCCCACTGGGGACAGAGCTGGCAACTGAGGCACATGCCCTGACCAGGAATCGAACCTCAACCTCCTGGATCATAGGTCGGTGCTCAACCGCTGAGCCATGCTGGCCGGGCTATTTATTGATTTTAAAGAGAGAGAAAGGGGGAGAGAGACAGACAGAGATAGAGAGAAACATCGATTTGTTGTTCCACTTACGTATGCGTTTATTGGTTGCTTCTTGTATGTGTCTTGACTGGGGACTGAACTGGCAACCTTGGCATATCGGGACGACGCTCTAACCAACTGACCTACCTGGGCAGGGCAAGAAATTAATACACTTTTTATTGCATCATAACTTTCGGGGCTAAAGAGGTTTGATGTCATTACCCTCCCTGATCTAAAATGACTTACTATCCAACACTGGGCCACCATCTCCAGGTAGGGAAGGGGCAGTGAAGGGCTGGATATTAAATATGCCCTTTCCTGTGCAGACCTTCAGCGGGGCTGGTTCCACCGCCTGGTGCAGAAATCCAAAAAGTCTTACATGTTCCAATTCTGTAGGAGACACAGGATGCCAGCATCTGCTCAGGTACTCTCCCTGCCTATTCCAGCCCTGCCCTGTGCCTCACAACCCTTTTCTTTCTGGCTGCTCATTCTGTTCTCCAGCTGTGTGAGAGATGGAACGTGTGGAGATGAAGTAGATTATTCGTCCATTACACAGTTAGGGAAACTGAGGCCTAAATGTTGAGCAACTTGCCTGTGGTACTGCAGGCTCCAGAGGGAGAAATAGAAGCCAAAGATCCTTATTCCTGGCTTAAGGGCAACCTTGCTCTCTACCTACAGAGGAAGCTGCTGAGTTGCCGTTGCCTGTCTGAGAAGGGCCATCACATCTTTGTCCCCTCCCCAGACATCTCCCAGAAGGGGCTGCGCTTCAAAAGGACCCAACTTTCCGATCCAGAGGCAGTAGAAGATCTCCCAAGACAGGACTCACAAAGGCATAAAGGTAGACATGGGATGTGACCGGAGATGGGCACAGTCAAGTAGTGGTGCATTTGCTAAGGGCAAGAGACAAGGCCACCAACTGCCTCTTCTCCCCAGGGCCTGAGTTCTCCTTTGACTTGCTGCCTGAGGCACGGGCTATTCGAGTGAGCATTCCCCCAGGCCCTGAGGTCAATGTGCGACTTTGTCACCAGTGGGCACTAGAGTGCGAAGAGTTGAGCAGTCCCTTTGATGCCCAGGTATGGAGTGCCATCTTCCTGTAAAAAGCCAGATCACACAGTGCTGGAGCAAAAATGGCCTACCCATTGTACATACAGGGAGACTGAGGTCCAGGGAGGGAAAATAATTCTCCAAGACCCACAAGTCCAAAGTGCCTAGCATTAAGACTTCTTTGGACTAGATAGAAAATGCAGGAGGCCTTGTCACCTGAGAGGAAAGGAAAGGAAAGGACATGCAGAGACCTGGGGCAACCATGAATGACTAGCAGAGAAATGAATATGGTATTTACCCCCAATGAGAGGAGCCTCAGTGAGATTCAGGTTGCACTAAGAAACCTTTCAATTCCTTCAAGAAGTGGTTCTCCCTGAAAAAATAACAAAGTGGTCACATCTGTCCTGGTACCCGTCCATTTCCTTTCCTTTGTTGCTTTCCTCAGAAAATGAGATGACCCTCATTCTCCCAGCCCGGATCCTAACACCCTGCCTCAATCTCCAGTTGTCACCGAGGCCCTTGTGTATGTACAGCTGGTACCATTTACAGGGACTGATGCTGCACCCCTGAAGCCCTCAGCCCTCTATTTAGAAAAGGGTGATGACACCTTCCAAGATCACAGAGATGCTAGCATTTACTTGAGTTACTACTTTAGCACCTAGCACCCTACCTGGCGTACCTTAAATATATAGTCCTTTCCCTGTCTCCTCCCTCCCCCAGCTCCATGTGAGGATGGTGCAAAAGTAGTTTTCAGTAATGAGTATATAAAACACAGAGTTTATTCTTGTATTATTTATCAATTATTGTGCTATTTTCCATACAAACAACTGTAAACCTACTTTAACCCCACCCTATATTGAGACACCTAGGGAAAATTGTCAGAGTACAGAACAGAGACCCTTTGGGAGGAAATTTTTTGATGAAATAATTAAGTTTCATGTAAGAGGAAAAATAAGGTGTTGCTGAAGTTCCCAGCTTCCTCCTGCCCTCGTCCAGGGTGCCTATGCTCTGTCTCAGGCATCTCTTCTCTCCCTTTACTGCTTCGTCAACAGAAAACCGTGTCTTGGGGCCACACTATAGACCTGCCTTATGAATTCCTTCTGCCCTGTCTGTGCATAGAGGTGAGTAGAGAAAAAAGTGTGGATTGTCCATGGCCCCACTCCTAGGCCCCCTGATAGTGCAGTTGTTCAAACATATCTCCAGTAAGTCAGGTTTTAAAACAACTGGGTGTTACCCGGCCGGGCGTGGCTCAGCGGTTGAGCCGCCACCTCGGATCCAGGTGATCAGGGTTCAATTCCCGATCAGGGCACATGCCTGGGTTTCGGGCTCGATTCCCAGTTGGGAGCGTGCAGGAGGCAGCTGATCAATGACTCTCTCATCATTGATGTTTCTATCTCTCTCTCTCCCTCTCCTTTCTTCTCTATGAATCAATAAAGATATATTTAAAAAAACAAACAAACAAAAAAACACACCACTGGGTGTTAACGAGGTGCTTGGGAAGACAGGTGCCAGCTTAACTGTGAGCCACACACTGGGTCAGAGATGGAAGTGTCCTGCTGAATGTGAGACATCCTTGGGGGTGATTCTAACCTTAGCCCCACCCAAGCCCAGCTTTTCTTGGTCTAGACTTGGCCTCAGCCCACAGAGGCAGAATAGACAGCTGCCTTCACTGTGTGTACTGATCAGTCACAGTGGGGACATGTGACCATTGCAAGGTTCCATATGGCCTCAAAAGTTTTGTCCCCCCTAGCCCTTATGGCAGTCCTCCTCCTCTCCATAATTCTGAAGTGCTTAACATCAAGACTTCTTTGGATAAGACAGAAAGGCAGGGGCCTTGTCACACAGGAGGAAACTAAAGGGAGGGTGCAGGCAGAGACTTGGAGCGCTGAGCATCTGCCAGGGTGGACAACCATCGGGCGTTTGGGCAGCCCAGACGAAGGGGCCCACACAGGGCACGAGGCACCTTGGGAACCACTGAGAGTGGAAGTGTGGACTGAGATGTGGCCCTCACGATCTGCCTCTTTCTGGGGCTAGGTTCTCCTCTCCAGGTACAAGAGGACTCAATCCCTCACTAACTGATCTCATTCCCATATTCTGGAGTTCCTCCGCCAGTGTCAGGCACCACTTATCCTGGCCTGCACCCTGCACTGCCCCTCCTCCTCAGAGCCCTGCCAGCTCAGGCAGCTTGCACCACAGCAAGGCAAGCCAGAATGAGTTTCAGGCCTGAGTGATAGAGGAAAAGCCCTTCCTCTGACCTTCCCTGCTTGCTCTCCTGTTCCCCCAGGCATCCTACCTGCAAGAGGACACCGTGAGGCGCAAAAAATGTCCCTTCCAGAACTGGCCTGAAGCCTGTGAGTGCTGCTTATATGCACACTTGTGCACACAGATCCTCTCTGTCTCTCTTACATACACATACACATACACATACACATACACATACACATACACATACACATACACATACACATACACATACACATACACATACACATACACATACACATACTTCCTACCTGTGTTGGAGGAAGCCCCTAGAAGGCATGCAGGCATTTTCCCCAGAGTCAGTCGGAGGAACGACTACCATGTCTACTGATCAGCCTGCCAATAAATCAGTGTTGAACATTGTACGAAGCACTGTGGGAGGTTCAAAAATAGGAGACGCTGAAAGTGGTGTTCTGGGGATGGACCAGAAGAGCCGGGCTCACTCACGTCCCACCTCTGCCACTTATTCTTCTCTGAGCCTCTGTTTCCTCATCTGTAGAATAATGACACTTGTCCTGCCTTACTTGCCAACTGTTTATGAGGCTTGACTTCAATATGATATGTGAAAGTGGTTGGTGACATCTAAAGTGCTGTCCACACATTCTTGTCCCCAAGCTGAAGAGACAGGATGCTCAAACATGATAAATGGACAGCACAAAGCAGCCTACAGTCCAGGGCAGGGATGCATGTAAGGACTAGCCTGTGGGACATGAACTCAGGAAAGGGAGAAGCCAGTGAAGCCTATCATCAGCAAGTGGTCTCTCAGAGGACGTGACACCTGGGCTGTGCTCAGAAAACGAGTGGGATTTAGAAATGAGAAAAAGGAGGGGAAGGAATCCTGTTTTTGAGAGGAACCTTAGCAAAGATATAAAGATTTCAAGTTTGGGGAGCAGCAAATAGCTAGCCAGAATGGAGGTACAGGAAGGAGAGGAGACAGCTAAATAGAAAAGGTAATAAAAGGGGGCTGGAAAGGCAAGCTCATTTTTTGAGTTCCTAGACAGACCAGGAACTGTGCTGGGCACCTTCACAAACATCATCTCCTTATGCCCTGTGGATGGGGGTGGCAAAATGAGGCCAAAGCAGGGCTCAGGCTTCCCCAGGCCTCACTCTCTGCCCCTGCTGTCTGCCCAGATGGCTCGGACTTTTGGAAGTCAGTGAACTTCACTGACTACAGCCAGCACAATCAGATGATCATGGCCCCGACACTCCGCTGCCCACTGAAGCTGGAGGCCTCCCTCTGCCAGAGGCAGGGCTGGCACGCCCTCTGCAAAGACCTCCCCAATGCCACAGCTCAAGAATCAGAGGGGGTGAGACAGGTCTCCCCAGGACCTGGGTGGACAGGGCTGGGGCCCAGGGCCCTGCTCCCTGACTAACCCCCTTTTCCCACCACAGTGGTATGTTTTGGAGAAGGTGGACTTGCACCCTCAACTCTGCTTCAAGGTATAAGTGTGAGTGAGAGTGGATAGGTAGGGGTATGGATGGTGCCTGGGGCTTACTGACCTGCCATTCTTGGATTTTCAGTTCTCTTTTGGAAACAGCAGCCATGTTGAATGTCCCCACCGGACTGGTGAGCCAATAAATGACCCGGGCTGGGAACGCCTCCCACCATTTCACCCTCACCCAAATGTGACCAAGCCAAACTCTAGCCCTGTCCTGATTTCTCTGTCAACTAGCCCAGCTCCTATCACCTCCCACAAACAGGGTTTCTCACACGATACCCTTTTCCTCACTCCCTGGCAGCCCCATCCTGGAATGTGAGCATGGACACCCAGGCCCAGCAGCTGATCCTTCACTTCTCCGCAAGGATGCATGCCACCTTCAGTGCTGCCTGGAGCCATCCAGTCTTGGGGCAGGACAGCCTGGTCCCCCCTGTGTACAGCATCAGCCAGGTACGACCTAGCCAGACCTCGGCCCCCACCAGGTCCTGTTGCCCAGAGCACAGCAGGTGGAGGCAAGCAGATTCTTGACTTACATCACCTAGTGATTTATTTAGTTGGTCAGGCTTTGTTCAGCTGCTTCCTCTACTAGTCAGCGGGGTCTTCCATGGGGCAGTTCCTAATCCTTCCAGCTCCTGAACTTACAGGGATAAACAGAGGCAAAAGACTGGCCCTCTCACGTCCAGCTGTTCTCGGGCCCACTCAGACTGCTGCCACATTTTATACGGATGCCCTCTCGCACTCAGCTGTCCTCTGCCACCACGCTCCTGCCTCCACGGCACCTGGCAGGAGTTCTCTGACTATCCTGGGAGACAGAGCCTCTGGAAAACTGTAAACTACTGACAGATTTAACTCTATTGTATGAACTACTGACAGATTCAACTCTATTGTATGAACTAAGAACAGTTTGACTAGTAGACTTTCTTCTGTGTATCTGATATAAAAACCACAATCAAATCTATCTTCAAAACCACAGCCCCAAGCTGACTAAGCATGAGTAGCTCTTCCCAGTTCTTTCTTAAATACTCATCTGCAGCTTGCTTATTTGTTGGGTATTGTCTGAGGATGCCCAAGCAAACAGGTGGCAGCAAATGCTCAAGACTTAAGACAAGGCCATGTGGGAAAACCTAAAATTGAGAGCTAAATCCATGGACTCATTTGTTCCTGTGAGCTGGGAAAAGACCACCTTCCCTGAGTTCAGCTGTGATTTGAGAGCTCTTGCATCAGCCCTTACTCACAGATGACTGGACAATGGGACCTGGGACAGGGTCGGGTAGTGTGTAGGGGGTGGAGTGTGTTCCCAAAGGATGGAGATTCTGATCAGCTCCCTACCCAGCACCCAGAACACAGGGCAGAGCCACATCCTGCTTGTGGACAGATGGCAATCAATTCTGTCCAATTCAGCATGCATTTATTGAGTGCCTACTCTGTCTTAGGCCCTGGAAGATACAAGAAAAGAATATAACAGAATCTCTGTCCCTAGGAGTCCATGGTGTAATAATAGCTACTACTACTAAATGCATACACACTGCACTGTGTATTATAAAGAGTGTTCATATGCATATTTTCACGTGATCTTCAATAACATGGTAAACCAAGGATCATTACTCTTCACAAGCAAGTGAAGAAACTGAGGCTGAGGGATCAATATACCAAATATCACACAGCTAGGAACCACGAGGCAATAGTTAAGCCTGACTTTATTAGCTGTGGTCTCCTGACTCTACAACTTACATTCTTGTCAATGGATAAGCTACCCACCCCTTCAGGTGTGCAGGACAGGAGTAGGGGAGCATATAATTAGCCTCCTTGTTTTGTGAGCTGCTAGAGGACAGAGACAACATCTGCACTGCCTTCTTTCCTCAGGGCTTGGCACAGAGTTGGCACCCAGAGTATGTCTGTTGACGAGTACCTTATTTCCTGATTAATGTGTATCTGTGTAGCAGTTCCAATCTGGGAATGATCAGTGGGATCTAGGAATGAAGCCAGGGAAGGCTTCTTGTCGGGGGTGGCACTTGGCCTTAAGCCTGGGGAGGATTTGGGTGGTGGGTAGAAAGGAGGAACAGCATAGGCAAAGGCTCAGAGGCTAGACAGAGCCAGATTTGCTGCCATGAGAACAGTCATTTTGTTCTTTATTCCAACAGACTCAGGGCTCAAGCCCAGTGACACTAGACCTCATCATTCCCTTCCTGAGGCCAGGGGCCTGTGTCCTGGTAAGGAATCCTGCTTTCCCTCTACACACACTCCCCTAGCATCTACTCCACAGGTGGCACATGGGGCAAATCCAGTCTGCAAAAGTGTTTGGTTTGTACAGCATGGTGTTTGAAATTGGAATTTGTTGTTACCATTTAAACATTGGGAGACATCATATTTTCAAAAACCTGATTTCTGGCTTCTCTTGAAAAATCAGAAAACCTAGTGCTCTGTGTCCACATTCTGGCCTAGTGACAACAGGCTGGAGCTCAGTGGTGTCTGATTACTTCAGACAGGGCCTGTGCCCTCCAGGTCCTCATGGATACCCTGGCCAACTTGGAGTTTACTTTTTGAGTTTGTCACTCTTGCCCTGTTCTGTGCTGGGTGAATTCCCTATCCAGGGAGTCTCCCCTTCACCACCCCCATGCCTCATTGAATTTCCCCTGCAGGAGGCACTATACCCTGGCTCACCGGGTGGGGGGTGGGGGGCTCTGTGTCTTCAGGTCTGGAGGTCAGATGTCCAGTTTGCCTGGAAGCACCTCTTGTGTCCAGATGGTGAGTTCTTTGAGGGGAGGAGTAAGAGGAAGGTTGGGCACTGAGGAGCCCAGCTTGGCCTCACCCTGCTGCACTCAGTTTCTAACAGACACCTGGGACTACTGATCCTGGCACTGCTGGCCCTCGCCACCCTATTGGGGGTTGTTCTGGCTCTCATCCTCCGGCGCCCACTGTCAGGTAAGCTCACTCAGGCGTAATTTGGGGATTTAGACCTGCCCAGCTCCTAGGCTAGTTGCCCACACCTGTCCCCTGCCCAGGCTCCCTTCCCCAAGAGCCACAGTACCTGCAGCTACACCCAGCTGTCTGCTACCCAAGGGGCTGCGCCTCAGGCCCTCTAGTGAGCAGAGATGGTTAAGGCAGGGCAAAGTTTCCTCTGTGCAGGCGGTTCAGGGCAGTCTCTGGGCTACAGGCCAGTGCAGTGGACATCCAGCCTGCGCTGCACCTGCCAATTCTGGCACCCTGGCCCTCCCCCCTCCCCGGGTGCCTTTATCTAAATAGCCCCCAAAGCATCCTATTGACTAAAGGTACCTTGGGTACCCACTCCCAGCGCAGATTAGGAACTGGGGAGGGGGCACCGTAGGATGTGGCCCTGAGGCCGAGGAAGACAGAGCCGGGCTGCCCCTTAACTCCCACCCTGTTCATCGCTCGCTCACGCCCTAGGCCCCGGCCAACCGCAACCGGTGCTGCTTCTGCACGTGGCGGACTCGGAGGCACAGCGGCGCCTGGTGGGAGCGCTGGCTGAACTGCTGCGGGCCACGTTGGGCGGCGGGCGCGACGTGATCGTGGACCTGTGGGAGGGGACGCGCGTCGCACGCGTGGGCCCGCTGCCGTGGCTGTGGGCGGCGCGGGCGCAGGTGATGCGGGAGCGGGGCACCGTGCTGCTGCTGTGGAG